AGACAGACAGACAGACAGACAGACAGACAGACAGACAGACAGACAGACAGACAGAGAATGCGTACTGTGAGCTAATTTGAGCATGTAGAAGTTACATGAGTTACACCCACAAACGAGTGAATGAAAATGCACAAAGACGTAAACATGAAGTTACTGACTTGGTTTATACTTTGACTTCTCCGTTGTCGATGGCGACAATGGCTCTGAGGAAGAGAGAAGAGCATGGAAAATAATTAAACATGTTATCTATATTGAAATATTAAGCTTGCTCATTCATGTTGATTTAAATCCCCTTAAAATAGTTCCCAAAAAGTTTCGATTGCACTTTTGAAAAGAGCCTTCAGTATAAGCTGTCCGACAATAATGCTTCTTGATTCCAAGAGGACAGTGATGTATATTAAAAGCTTTAAAGTTATATTACAAACTTTTATAGACATCACATAAGGATGACTGTATGAAATCGTCCATTAAAGATCGACAAATTCGGTGCTGACATACACAAAGAAATTGAGTTGAAGAATACTACCCTGTTAAAAATAACAGGAGAATGAAAGAGGTAAATGGCTACATGAATCAAATAAATAAACGCAAAAGTAAAAGAAATCGAAAGAGCGAAGTTCGAGAGATTTATAGGAAAAACAACACAACATCCCAACAACCAATAAACCCATCCCCACTTGGTTTACGTAAAAAGGAAAGGTGGACATTCATACAATATACATGAGTAAAATACTTTTTTTCATGATCGTTTGTCCTTACGAATCCTGGAAATAATATAATTCCTTTAAAAACGTTCTCATGTTTTCCCTCTCACCCCTGTCTCTGTGTCTATGCCAGTTAGCGCATATCGTCCACACTTTCGTGCAGAAGCAGCACGTGCGTGCGGCTGGTTTGAATACAAACCAAAAATTGAAGACGGGTTGTTGTGATTGAAAAAGAATCTCCTAAGCATCGAAATCCCCCGGGGAAACAGGAAAGATCCCATGCACTTGAAGAAAGCACCCAACACTTGTCGTTCACAGTGTGAAAACCCCCGCCACTGCTACGTCTGTCTATCGATGACATTGATAAACATTACGTTTGAGGAAGAGAGGAAGCAAAACAAAAAAATCTCACCAAAAACCCCACAAAAACAAAAAGAAAACAAGAACCTCCCTGCGACCACATCGCACTGAACATTCTGTCATTTTTTTTGCGTGTGTGTGTGTGCTATTCATGCTCTGGAATCTGAAGGCGAGCAACGAAATGAGAATCAGAGATTGAAGATCCATGGAAGTGAACGTGGCGACCCAAAAGAAAGCCTGGATAATTAACCAGATAGCCACGTGCAGAACCCATACAAGATTAAGAAGTTTACCGAAAGCAAACGGTGAGTAACACCCACTCTCCTACATACCCTCTTCTCTTGCTCGTTTCTTTCCATTCTCCGCCCTCTTCCTCCGAGCCTGCCCATCGCCC